CGTCCTTAAAATTTGCCCCGTAGAAACAAGAAAGGGATGTAACGGTGAAACACCGCGACTACAACCCACCCTTCTGCTAAGGAAACGTTTTTTGGGGTGGGGGGAGGGAGTTTCTTACCTCTTTTGCGGTTTTGGGCCTTCTTTTACATTTAATTGTTCACTACAGCAATTTTTAACTTTTTTTCGTCAAACTACAAGACCCTCTAGCGCCTAAACGGTTAGAGACAGAGCCAAACGGACGAAATTTTCGCCCAAAGGGCTCTACTTTGACAAGTTGCCTCTTAAGAGACCATCCAATATTTTCGGAAATTAATAAATTTACTTTTGGGCAACTTTTGTGAGAGAAACTCCCTCTAGCGCCTAAACAGTAGACGATAGAGCAAAACGGACAAAATTTTCGCCCATAGGGCTCTACTTTGACGAGTTACCCCTTAGGAGATCATAAAAAAAATATTTTTTTCTGACTTTTTCGACCTACCTCCTTTTCTTTGATACCCCTTTTCAGCCCCTTAGGGTTGGTTGCCAGGATTTGCCGTAGGCGTTTCGTTCTCTAGGAGTGGACCTTAAGATACCCTGAAAATTTGAAGTCTCTAGCACATCTCCTTCTAGTGGAACAGACAGACAGACAGACACACAGACACACACGAGGTCGTTTGCATAAGCCCGCTGAATAGCTTTTTCAAAGCAGGAGGGCGGGCTAAAAATGAGATTCATCCTATTCATTAGCTTTGTCCAGTGGCTTGCTTTGTTGGCTTGTGATACAACTGATGAACCGGCTACACTAAGTCTATTACGCACACATTTCTTTCTCCTTTGTAATCTGCCATTGTGAGGGTAACGATCAGCATGTCTCACAACGCTTTTGGCACTCGAACCAGCAATATAATGAAGCCTTTTCTGGTTGAATAGGTGATTGAAGTCATCTTTGGACCTTGACATACGCTCAGCTTGAACACCCAATCTTCCACTCATACTACGGTAAATAAATGTTAAAGCACAGTCATTTAGCTTCCGCAAAAAATCAAGAATGAAGACATGCGCCACTTGAACTACACACAGTTCAACATCCATTAACATGTCCACACAATCTTCGAGGAACTCTCTATCAGAAATTAATGTCACTATAGACTTTTGAGAAAAAAATCTGGCAGTTGAGGCAAAAGCTGCCCCCTTCTGCTTCACTGTCACTACATTCACACCCTTCACAACAGCTTGGAAGAGCTTTCCTTGAAGTTTGCACCATTCCGGGGTGTCCATTTTGGTCTTGACAATTTCTGCATATGCCACGAGTTGCTGCCCATGTTCTCCTGCAAATGCTGTGCTGGAGATGCTCTCTAACACTGGCTTGCAAGACTGGACGCAATGCTTTTGGACATCAGCTGGAGCGGGCTGTTTGGCAGCAAGGGCTGAAACATAAAAAAGGACTAATAAGCAAAGACTAAAGGAAATTATTTTATTGTTTATAAAGAAGAAACTTAGGGAGAATACAGCTTTAATGAAGTCAAAGTACCTCTCCACTTGTGGGCTAATAGATGCCTTGCAAGACCCTGCTTGGATTTTACTAGCTTCTCACACTCGGGGCACTTAAAAAGCTGGTCAGGTACAGAAGGTGGTTTAAATACGGGCTGTTCCTTTGTCGGTTCACTTGCTTTTTTGGTTGTCTTCTTAGTTTTTCTCCCCTTTCTTGGCGTCGACGTTTCGGGTTCTACGGTGACTGATGAGAAAGAGGCGTCCCATTCGGATAAAGAAACGTCAGATCTTCGTCATCCTGATCCATATTGTCCATATTGCACAACGATACGACGGAGAACCACCTGTTTCTCTCCTGAGTGCTTCTGCTAGCGATTCGTAAACAGCGCTGCTGCTGACGAGCGACCGCCGCGCCCCTAGCGGCGGGGCGCGGCAAACTCGCTCGGGCGGAACGTTCTCGCTGCCGGCAGGCGCTGCACGGGTCGGGACAGGAGCGATCGACGCACGGCGGTGAGCGACTTTGGTGGGCTTTAGTTTGAAAGTGTTGTGGTGGTGGTCAAGTTTTGTGTGACTAATAATTAGAGTGGACCTAGAGGAACACGCCGGTGTGTCGGTTGCGTCGAAATTCGTTCGCACGGCGGGGGAGTTCCGTTCGCAGTGGCTCAGGTTAGGGGGCGGCCGGCGAGCAAGTAGCCACTCCATAAAGCCATACCCCGAGTCGGAATAGACCACGATGTACACTACGCATGTCAGACTAATTAAACGATCTAACACAGAAGAAAACACACGTGTTCGTAAAAAGCCCGACGTCCAACCCACAAACTCACTGTGTTAGCACAGGACTTCATCAATCAAAACGACAATGGCACGACATCGGGAATTGACGACACAGTGCTGCAGTAAGCGAAACACACTTACCGGTCATGATGTTTGGAGATATCACTTGGTGTCACTTCACGGATTGGAATGGTCGCTTCGCAGTCAATCGCAGTCCGTCAAATGAGAGCGAGACCCTTTTGACAGCTACACAGCTGCTGTGCTGTTTGGCTGCGGGCGCAAGCCTTTCAATGCGGCCAGGGTTTTTGCAAGCGGCGAAGAAGAGTGGGGGCAGTGGAAATCTGGCAACGGCGGAAACGGCAACAACAGAGGAATGACGCGCCATCTAGACCGTCTAGACGGAACGCCACAACCCTGTCTAAAACGGAACGTGATCGACCTGTAGAGGAGCTCGCCATCTAAATTTCGGCAGTTTATGTATTTCGATGGAATGCAAGCCTGGATTTGGGCGAACATCATAAAACACAATGAAGTTTTGACCGAGAATCATGTCTTCGGCGATGTCCGCCTCAAAGGCCCGGGTTTCAAAGACAATGCCATCAATGGTGAGCTTCACTACAGCAGGCCCGAGAGAGGGCGGCCTGCTGGGTGGCTTGTCGCATTCGAATATGCGATCCCTCTAACTTCAGGCTTGGGAGCGCCGAAATAGAGTGATCGTGGACCCGCCGTTAACAACAACACGTGCTCTCGTCCCGTTAACCAGCAAGCTGATCACGGGGGACGGCACTGCGACGGGTAGATCTGAAGTCTTATCAGGGGTAGGGGTGGCCGCGGTCCTCAGGGTTCCATTGCTGGGCTGGGGGCCGAGAGACGCGCGGCACCATCTAGTTTTTTGAACCAGATGAGACGCTGTCTTTCCCCTCTTCACTGCAAAAAATTAGAGTCTGATACGGAACGATCTACAGCGTTACTGTAGATGCCGCTCTTAGTCACTGCACATAGGGTACAGAGCGCGGAGTACAGTGTTGCTGTAGCACCGGAAAGCCCAGGTCTTACACTGTACAGTGTACGAATACGGCTCCACTGTAGACAGTTTTGTCCGGTTTTGCCTGTACAGTGGTCCTGTACATAGCTCCCTGTTCCAGATTTTAAACATTAAAACTACAGCGATGCTGTTATTCGAATAACAGACGTTCCTGGAAAATAAATATCGGTCGATGCTGTAATTTTTCCTGTCATAATTTTTTGCAGTAGGCAGTTGCGTCCTTCTTACTGCCTTTGCGGTTCTTTTTCCGCTCCTCTTTACCCTGAGCGGGTGCCTGTTGCGCAGGCAACCCATTTGACGCGGGAGCAGCGGTGGGCGGTGGGTACATAGAGGACGCACGGGGGCTGGCCCGGGAACTGACCCTGCGGCTTGCCCTGGGACTGACCCTGGACGGCTCCCTGTCCACCTGTCCCCTTCGAGTCAGCACAGCCAACAACATTAGCACACTGCCACTCATAGTGACCTTTCCCTCCACAGGCATAACATGTGACGTTGGACATGTCTCGTGGAGTCCATTTTTGCCCTTTTTTCTGGTTGCCAGACTGTGCTTGTTGCTGTGGCTGTCGCTGCTCTTTTTTCTCCTCTTTTTTCTCCTCTTTCTGACTTGACTGCTGCTTTTCCCAGCGAGCCTTCAGGTCGGCGAGGTTCTGGTGGTCCGCGTTAACGGATCTCACGAGCTCGTCGAGCTTTCCGGCCGTGGGGCTAGTGCTTGCGCGACGAGCACGCTTCGTAGAGTTTCCTCTGTCGTCTGCAGCATACTCCTTCTCGGCCTGCATGAGTGCATCGCGCAGGGAATCGAACCGCTCACGCTTCCGGCGGACGAACCGCTTGGTGGTGCTATCAGACAGGCCGTGCACGAAGACTTTCATCATTAGTTGCTGGAGGGCATCCTGGGACATACCCTGGTGCGCCTCCAGTGTGGTGTCACTGACATCTGCTGCGGACTGACGCAGAGATTGCCCTGACTTCTGCTTCAAGGACGCGTAGCGCCGCTCGGCCTCAGCCCGGTTGACGTCGCGATAGAAGCGCAGCTTCAGCGCGGCGTCTAAGGTCTGGAAATCAGTCCTTTTGCGGTCGGAGAGGTGCCGCAGCACGGCCTCCACGTCCTCGGTGAGGAGCAGGGACAGCTCTAGGCCACGACGGCGGTTGGACCAGCCGCACTGGCGAGAGTGCTCGAGGAACCGATAACGGTACAGGGAGTAGTCAGTTTTCGCAGTGTAGGCAGGCAAGCGCCGGTTACTTCTACCGCTTCGCATGCTCAGGGCCTCCGTCAGGAGCGCGACTGCCGACCTGGCCGATGGAGAGCTACGGCGTCTCTGTGGGGAGCGGGAGCGAGTGCGTTCCCAGCGGCGAAAGTGGTCAGCACCTCCCCGGCGAGGAGAGTGGTCAGCAGAGTCAGAGCGGTCCCGGCAGCCGCGGCCGCGCTGGGCTTGGTCACGTGACATGCTCCTAGAGGGGCGGGACGGACCGCGCCTCCTGGAATGTGACCGTTGGCCTCGGACACGGGAGTGACTGAGAAACTTGTTACTCAGTGGGATTAAACACTCCTCTTCAAAAGAAAAATGAAGAGTAAGAAAAATATAGAAACTTTAGAAGAGAAAATGTCAAAGAGAGAAGATGCAAAAAACTAATCTACTGTCTTTGGTCCGTGCTCTTCCTAATTCAAAGAAGTTAAAAGATATTGTCTTGACAATTGGGAACTTGTATAAGATAACCAATACGGATCTTTTGTCTTTATCTCTTGAAATCAGCAAGGCTGAGGAGGCTTTTTATCGCAAGATAGACAGGTCTTTCCGCAAATGCTGCTTAACTTTTGGAATCATAAATGCTTTCATTTTCAATCTTGCTCAGACAGATGACTCAATTTTTGCAGGTGCCTCTGAACTGTCACTGTCAATGGCACGAGGCAACCGCCTGAAAGGAATTTTCTCCAATGTGTCTGAGAAGGATTTTTTTTATCTTCCCTGCCAATTTTACTGATATCACTGACAATGTTTGCAGTGTTAGTTAACACTGCTGAAATCCTCTACTTGGATTCCATGAACTGGGATATGAACTCAAGTGCTTACTTTTGTGCTGATACCATGATTTCTATTTTGAAAACTATCAAACCTACTATCCCTAAATGGAGTTTGATAGTTATGTCATATTGCACACAGGTTGACTCTGTCAACTGTGGTGTTCATATATGTTGGTTTGCTCATCAGATTAAAATTAAGTTCGAGGAATTTTCTGTTTTTTTTCTTTTAGAGCTTGTGCTATATTAAGCTTACATGTATATATTAGTTTAATTTCAGTTACTTAGTAATAAATCTGAAGGATATTCTGATAGTTTCAGTCACCCTTTTTGTACCTGTCTGTGTGTACAGTTTGGTAGGCCAGTGTGCTTTTTTTGCTGGTCCATGTTTCTTCTAACTCTT